TGAACGCCCAGACCCTTCAGAAGAAGCTGTAGACACAGCAGTTGCAGGTGACCAAGTGGACACCGCTGCAGGTGATGACCTGGACGACCATGCAAAAGCAGTTGATGATGGTACTGAGTTGCTGCCAGACTGGCAGCTGCACATGGTTGATCTGCTGATGCGGCCAACCTCTTCTTGGACAGCTGCTTGTCAATATTATTTCAGAGTCAATATTTGTTGAAATATGTATCACTAGACTGTTTGAATACAAATTGCTTTTAATCAATAGATTGGAATATAGTCTTAAAAATAGATGGAAATAAGCATTGTGAGGTTGAGGATGGAAAGCATCTCTACGACCACCTACAGACTGTGATGGATATTCTCACTGTCAATGGTGTACTGGGTGGTGAAAATATTGACAGCTCTTCTCCAATGCACCCACCTGGCCTTGCAGAGGCTCATGGAGAACTTGGGGAGCCAGTTGCAGATGCCATCAAGGAAGAGGAGGCAGAGCAGGCCAATGCCACTAACTTGCAGGAGACACAGGAGTGGCTGCAGTGGCAGGAGTGGCAGCAGTACAAGGAGGAGACAGAACAAGATGGGCTGTCCTGGGACCAGCAAGGATTGCACATGGCAAATGACCAAGTTTGGTCAGGTGTGGGTTCAGCAAGTGCAGATCATGTACCCAAGAGGGATTTGACACGGTTTGGTCATCTACCCCCTCCTCGAGGAGGCTGGATGTGCAAGGTGATCCCCCTGATTGTCTCCATCAAGATGATGGCACACCAGCGCACTTGGAGCATAGCTCAAAGGCTTGGGGACCATGTGGCCATCAGGGAGCATGTGATCGACCATCATTTGCAGATGCTCCACCGTGGCTTTGACAGGAGATACTATACCAGATAGACCTGATGGACCTGGACAGGCAAGAGCAAAAGGTGCTGCTGTGATGCATTTGTTGTTTGTTCCTTGTAGCCTCCAATGGCTCATTCTTTCATAGCCTTCAATGGCTCATGCTTGATGTGTTCATTAGCCAGTGATGGCTCATTCTTAGTAGCCTCAGTGGCTCATTCTTAGTAGCCTCAATGGCTCATTTTTAGTAGCCTCAAAGGCTTATTCTTAGTAGCCTGTTTGGCTCATTCCAAATGTAGCTCCTATTTGTTCTAAATATATTAAACAAATTTGTACGACCGTATTACTTTTCAGAATTCAAAAGTTTTGTTGTAAATCTATTATCTTAATCTAGTTTTGTTTGACTGAAAAATATATTGTAAAATCCAATTTGGTGATCTCAAGAATTGAGTTTAGTTGTTGAATTTAAACTTAGAGATCTCAAGATTCAAATTCAATGGCTGAATTTAAATTTAGAGAGTCAAGAATTTGAGTTTAGTAGCTGAATTCAAATATAAAAACCTTGGAATTTGAATTCAGTGGCTGAATTCAAATCTAGAAACCTTGAAATTTGAATTCAGTGGCTGAATTCAAAACTATAAACCTTGAAATTTGAATTCAGTGGCTGAATTCAAATTTTGAAATTTTGAAATTTGAATTCAGTGGCTGAATTCAAATTTAAAGCTTTGAAATTTGAATTCAGTGGCTGAATTCAAATTTTGAAATTCTATAATTTGAATTCAGTGGCTGAATTCAAATTTAAAGCTTCCAAATTTGAATTCAGTGGCTGAATTCAAATTTTGAAATTCCACAGTTGGAATTCAGTGGTTGAATTCAAATTTTAAGGTCTATAATTTGAATTCATTAGCTAAATTCACTTTTAAAAATCTTAAAATGTGAATTGTGGTTGAATTCAATTATTGAAACCCAATAATTTGAGTTTATGCGTATGAATTCATTTCTGAGTAGCCTCAGTGGCTCATTCTTAGTAGCATCTTTGGTATCTATTGATAAATACTAAATATTTAAACAATTTAATGTAAAAGGATTTAGCAAAGATCAAAAATATTTTTCTTGTGGCTGCTTATGGAAGCAGTGATCATCATTGTTTGTTTAGCAGTTCAAGCTGCTCAAGCAATGGCTGGAGCCAATCGCATTGAGCGTGTAGAGTATGTGGTGAATTCTTTGGTGATTACATTCACCAATGGCAGACAGCAAGAGTAACTTGCTTGCTATTAGTTGTTATGTAAACAATTGTGTTTGTGTAGTATTTGTCTATCAACAGATTCTCAGGTATTTGCTCGATGATGAGACATCATGGGAGAACATCGAGTACTCCTGCTGGCAATGGAGGCAGCAAACTTGGTGGAGAGTATCCTTCAGCTGTGATGGCTGGCAAAATTGGTTGCTTGCATGCATTGAGCCTGCATGTGTTTGGTGTTTGGTGATCCTTGGCTCAGTGTTTGGCGCTTTTTGGTTCCATTTCCAAGGAAGAGCTTGGATGACCTGAGCAACCTGCTGTGCCAGAATGATATGGCACCAAGTCCTTGGAAGACAGGCTTGGTGAGGATGTTGTTCTCACCCTGCCAGCAGTGGCGGGTCGGTGACTGTTCTGAGCAGTGAGCAGGAAAAATAAAGCTGCTGTTACCTTAGCTCAGTGTAACTTAGACTTTTGTTATAGCCTTTGGGGCTCTTTGTATCTGGCCTCAAAGGCTCTATTTCTCATTAGCCTTTGAGGCTCATGCTTGTTGCATAGCTCAGAAGCAGCTCATAGCCTTCAAGGCTCCTTCATTCTGTCCATAGCTCTTTGGAAGCTCATTCAGCCATAGCCCTTGGGGCTCATGCTTTCTAGCCCATTGAAAGCTGATTCTGCCAATCTCCCTGGGCTCATGCTTTCTAGCCACTTGAGGCTCATGCTTTCTAGCTCTTAAAGCTCAGTCTGCCAATAGCATTGGTCATGTAGTTCAGTTCTTCTCATCCATCAA